GTGACATGTGAGGGTCCAAAGCTCGCAAAATAAAGGCATGTATATCACTTTGTATAACAGGCTGACAAGCTTATGATTTGCTAACGAGCTTTTGGGGGACCTGTGCCAGAACAGAGGGTGGAGTTTTGATATACCTCTCAAAACAGTCAGGTGACCAACGACCCAGAACCTTATAATTAATGAGCCATGGAGGTAAGTTTGCTGAGGCAGCTGTCGTAGCTGCACCCTTCCGGAAGCTGCACCCAGCAAATTCGCTGGAGTCTAGAGCCCCCTTGCAGATTAGGAGACTTGTTTCCCTTGTTAGCTTCTCCCGGGCTAAGAAATTACCAGATACGTAAGTGAAAAGGGGTTCTGAGTCTGAAGACAGTAGCCTGAAATTCAGGTATGCCACCATTGCGGAGATGGGGCACAAACGGGAATTCGTCTTTCCGATGACAGTGGTTTGTCGTTGTCTAAAAGGGTTTGTTTTGGACACTTTTAATCGCACTAGCATATACTGGGGTGAATTTCTTGGCATAAAAGTTATGTCTCTGTTTGTGAGATGGTGTTTTGGATCAAAAGTTCAATTGCAAGTGAGTTCACCTATGTGCAGGAAACCAAAAAAGGCGAGGGTCATCGCTGCCCAGAGCTTTTTGGTAAAGTGGACGCTGTTGCTTATTTCGTGTGAGAACAAAAGACCTTGGTTGAGTTAGCAGGTACGTATCGAGATGCCAAAGTTCGTCATTTAAACAAAAATAAGAAAAAAAAAACCTTTTTGAAAAAGCTTTGTGTCAGAATTCATACATTTGCAATCGTTCATAAGCTTTTTTTTAAAAAAACCTGAAGACGATTCGGCCATTTTGTATAAATTTAAACAGCGAGAAAACTAATGAATTATTTCCTCTCGTTCATGAAAAATTAAAATAAAAAGGCATCCTATTATGGATAACAACTGATTTAATATCATTTTGTGTGTGTGTTGAGGCCATTCCTCAACAGTTGTCCCTATCCGTTCTGGTTTTTGTAAGTACGTAATATCACGATAAGAAGCGTGCTTTTTATTCACATGAGGTGAAGCCATTGTTAATGAAAATGTGCTCAAACTGTGATTTCTCGCCGCTATACTACTGCCTCGTCTCAATAATTTGGTAAGATTTTTTCAATTATGTTTCTTCAGTTTTCATTTTTTTTTCAGAAATTCAAAAGTTCTCAAAAGGAGGCTGTTGCCAGCATTTGTCGTCTACGTCTTGTTACCATAGTTGCAGTTACAATAGTCAATAGGAAAAAACATTATCAATAATAAATATCTTGTTCCTGTTTGTTTCTTGAGGATATATATAACAATTATTTTTTACTCGTGAAACGGTTTACAATTTATCTGTAAATATCGCAACTTTTCGTAGTAGTATGAGTGTTTCGAGTGTTACTTTGAGAAAACAAGAAATGTATTTACTTTCTTAAATTTGCCATCAGCCATAAGAAAGAAGAAATTGAAGGACTCGGTAA